CTTTTCATTTTATTTTTCTTTCGTACTGCATGGAGCACTTTCGCAAAAGGAGGAGCAAGTATTTTCCTCTTGGCTTGACGCCCCAGACAACCAAAAAAACAGGTTCAACAAAAGCTTCTGAGCAGCTGGCAACTGAGAAACAGTGATTTATAAGGGAGGGAGCGGCTCGCAGGTGATGCTCGTGCTGTCCAGCTCACACCCAGGGCTCCCAGCAGCTGCAAGGATTAAGTAATTTATTACCCCAAAGAGTAATCATGGAATTATAGAATGGTTTGGGTTGGAAGGGACCTTAAAGGTCATCTTGTTCCAACCCCCCTGCCATGGGCAGGGACACCTTCCACTACACCAGGTTGCCCAAAGCCTCATCCAACCTGGCCTTCAACACTTCCAGGGATGGGGCAGCCACAGCATCTCTGGGCAACCTGTTCCAGTGCGTCACCACCCTCAGAGTGAAAAATTTCTTCCTTAGATCCAATCTAAATCTCCCCTTGTCCTATCACTACATGCCCAGGTACCCAGGTGCAGAAGTAGCTGCCCAAAACGTAATCGAGTCCCCAAATGCCACAACACACTGTCCACGCTGACAAAAGGGACGAGATGTTGGGCAACACGTGGCTTTTGGTCCCAGTTTAGGAGTGCAGAGATGAGTGGTGTCGGAAGCAAGGCGCCTGGTTGGGCACAGGGAGGCTCTGGGGACCTGCAGCTTGGTCCAGCACCACCACGGCACCAGCAAGACAAGACTCCTACTCAAAAGTTTGCTCCAAAGAGCCACACAAGCGCTTTAATGGCCCCGTCTCCTCCCACGGTTGGAAGGGATGAGGTTTCTGGAGGAGCTGGTGCCCCGGTACAGTTCTGTGAAGTTGGGATGGCTGCTGGTGATGCCAGTGGAGCCGGAAAGGCTGTGACAGTTGTGGTTCTTCCAGCCCCACGTCCTCCCTGCCGGTTATTCCTGGCTAAAAAAACAATTCCTGCAAAAAGGGAAGTTTGGCCATGAGCCATTTCAGCCCAGAGGTGTCTCGGAGAAGCCCAGGCTGTGCAGGGCTCATCCTTCCCTATCCCCAGGAGGTGGGCACGGCGCTGCCGGGTCACCCCAGCCACCCCTTGCCCTGGGGACCCTCCTTCCGCCGCCGAGTGTTTTGCCGGAGCGCCAAAGCGGCCGCCGCAGGAGGATCATGCCAGGCAATCCCACCTCCTCGGGCCATGCGGGGCAGCTGCACGCCACCGCCATGGCTCCGGCCACGCTGCAGGAGCCCTACGGATCATTTCCTAAAGGCTGATATGATATGATATTATCTGAAAAGACTCGATTTCTATCATTAAACCTCGTTTTTACAGCCATAAACCCCTGTTGGGTTTGTTCCCAGACTTTTTTTTTTCCCCAGCCTTCCCCTACACTTTCCACGCCTATCTGTGGGACCTTTCCAAAGTCTCCGGGTGAGCTGCCAGCGAGCATCTTCCCTTGGAAACAGCAATCGTGGGAACGGTGAGCTGGGTCAACTCCCTACACTTTCCACGCCTATCTGTGGGACCTTTCCAAAGTCTCCGGGTGAGCTGCCAGCGAGCATCTTCCCTTGGAAACAGCAATCGTGGGAATGGTGAGCTGGGTCAACGGAACAAGACTGAGTATGTAATGAGGAAAAAAAAACCCCACCAACTCTCCAATAAATGCATAAAGTTACTTTATTTTCAGTATACATTTAATTTTGAAAAATATAAATGCTAAAATATCTCATCATCTTCATCTTTTGATTCCATAAAAGTCACAATAGAAAGCTTCATAAAACTGTAAAATACTATAATGTTATAAGGAATTTCATGTTTTATACTACTGGAAAAAAAAATAATCACTTTAATATATTGAAATGTGTTCTGCTTTTTTTTTTCCTTTTTGTTCCATCATCTTGATCCACTTCATTTCATACTAAATTTTAATTCTTTCCTCCAAAGCAAACAGAGACTCAACGAGAATTAAAAACAATAATAAAAGTATCTGAAAGTGCGCGTTGATTCCAAAAAAATGAAAAATAAAATAAAACCCAACAAAGATGGATCTGCCATGATGACAAGTGGGGGCTACAAGGGGCCGGGACGACGCTGGCTGCAGCTGGGTCACCACCCACAGCGAGGTGGAACCTGGCTTTGCTTTGCTCTGGGCAGTTTGTTCCTTCACGGTCTCCTCTGATTCCAGAGGGTTTTGGGTCTCCACATCTACTCCCAACAAGTGCTCATCCAGGCTTTTCCCACAAAATACCTAATTCTGGTTGAAAATTAGTTATTTGCAAAGGTCTAAGAAGCCCAGTGAAAGGTTCCTTGTGCCACCTGCAGCTCTTTTCCCTGTCCACCGAGCCCCGGTGCCACCACGGCTCTTGGATGCTCCCTCCGTGTTGGGTTTCGATAAAAACCAAGAGAGGAGACAGCCAGACAAGAAAGGGCAATGGAAAGGAACCATTCCCAGTTGCGTGCGTTTTTCATGGAAAGCTACAGAAACCTTTGTTCCGTTCCTTCCGCAACGCCGCCCTCTGTACGACGGCTCCCTCAGGGCAAAATAAAAAGTTAAAAAAAAAAAGAGAGAGAAAGATCTAGATCAGCAGTCGATACCATTTCAAGTCCATTTAACACGGTTCGCAAGTGGAAGACCTTGTTTTTTTTTGTGGAGACGCATCGCCAGGTGCCGGCGACGGGAAGGGGGAGCCTACCCGGAGTGGGACAGCCGCTTCGCTCCGTTCATCTGCTTTCGTTTTCCCTCCGTCACTTACTGGGATTCCTACAAGTCCAAGGTCTGGGCAACACGCAAGCAGCTCCCGTGTACTCCGTAAGTGACGCTCGGGTCCGTTCAACCCCCGGGAGCCAGAGACTCGTGTTCACCAAGGGATGGAAACCATTGGTCGAAGCCGGCATCGTGCTCCCCGTGTTATCTGTCCTCCAGCTCACGGGACATAGCAGTGGAAAGGATGGTTACACCCACTCCTTTTCTAGCCATTTCTGATGTCTCCCCAGCCTTTCCTTTCCAGAGCGGGTTCGCGCTGGATTCCCGGGATGCCCATCAGAGTCAACGCACGTTTCATCGGAGGCGAAGCCAAGACCCCTTGAGACGGAGGTGGGGACACAAGGAGGTGCGTGCACAGCTGGGTGCCTCTGCGGCTCCATCGACTGCCTGCAGCAACCACCGCTGGCAGCAGATCAAGCTCCAACCATGGTGGTCTCCATCAACTCATCCCTTAACCAAGGGGCTGTAGGGGAAGTAAGGAGGCCAACCGCTCCTACGGACCATCTGGGAAAGAAGAGTTGCCCCATTCTGCACCTCCTGTTGCCGATACGGCTACTGCGAATGAGGAGATGCTCAAATTTGGCATACTAAGATCTCAGCACCATCAGAAAGTTCTGTTTACTTAACCAACATGGACTTTGGTTTCTGAAGGACAGAAGCAGCAGCAACGTGCCTGTCCTCTGGGCTGGGATTTTTTTCCAATGGGGAATCAGCCCTCACAGCAGGGCTATACTTTCTTCTTTTTTACTTTTTTTTTTTTTCATGAAGGCTTCCCTGTGTTACACGTAGTCCTCAGGTTTCATCAAAGAACTATCTTGGTGAAGCCCAATCTCCCAGATGCATGTTTACATGCACGCACGAGTACACACATCCGTGCTACGGAGAGAAGATCATCTCTCCCAGGGTGGTATTTGCTCACTTGATTTAAAACCAAAAGTCCAGGTGTGCCCATACCCAGTCTGCTTGGTATCGATGCATCACCCTGTACGGACGGACGGGTCTAGGACCGAGCAGTCAAGGTTTAGGGTAAATTCTGTAGATGATGGCCAACAGGCGTGGGACGCTCAAGGATGCAGATGTTGATGAGCACTGGGGTGAACGTCCCAGCAGGCTGTCTCCAGCCGTCTTCCTCCTCTGTTGCGCCGTCATCGTGCCTGAACCGCAGCCGGGGTCTTCGCGCGTACGCGAAGAAAAGAAATAACTGGAGCGATACCGCGTCGGAAATCAACACCACCAAGACAGTCGGCACCTGTCCGCTGCCGACGGTCGCCGGTCAGTATTTCACCTACCACTGTTACATTTAAGACTCTTCCTAGATCACAAGAGATTGAACTGACATCTCGTCTCCTTCATCATCAAGTTAGATTAATTATTAAAAGAAAAAAAGAAAATAACATAACCCTAAGTAAAACAGATGCTTCAGAGTTGAGGGTGTTAATCAAACTGATCCAGCCCTATGCCATGTCCTGGAGATTGTGGTGTGGTGGTGTTTTTTCTTTTTTTTTTTTTTTTTCTCCCTTGTAAAAATCACATTATATATGGTACAATACATTTTTTTTACAGAAAGCCTGGCATCTAGAAATAAGAGGTAGAACTACTCATAACTATATGTTTCCTGCTGCAGGAAAAAATTCATTTTTTCTTTACAGTAATTAAAAAAAGGTTAAAAAAATTGACAAAACAAAAAAAGTCGTAGGTTAGGCCCCCATAATTTAAACAAAATAATCTAGGAAAATAACACTCTTCAATGTACCTGACGGATTAAGTCCATTAAAGTGTTCCTTTTTTAAAAAAAAAAAAAAAATAATAATTGCATAGGAAAGGGACGTTTCAAAACACAGGCTACAGCGATGGCAACGGTTTGTCTGCGCTGGGAGTGAAGTACCTTTCCTTTTCCTTCCCGAGTTAACTCCGAGTACGGGCTTTAAGAGCAAGTTAGTAGTAGCAGCACTTTCCAGCATCTTCCGGAAGCGGGACGTGGGCTGAGCCCGGCGGTCGGTGTTGTCCTGCCAGGCGAGACAGCCAACCCAACGCTCACCGATTCGCCGACCAAAGCCACGCCGGGTCCTCCGACGTCTTCCCGCGGCTACGACACCGTATCCTCAACGCTTCTGCCCTCCGCTCGCCAACGGGAGAGACGCGACGGAGAAGGCAAAATCCAGCCCGGGTCGGCGCGGGAGAGCGGGGCGAGCGGGGATCGGAGGAGATTTGGAGGGGCAGCGCTGGGGGGGGGGTCTTATTTACTTATGCGGGTGGGGAGCAGAGAGCGTTTTAATATTTGGCTAGTGACAAATTCCGTAAAAGATTGACCAGACAGACAAATTACAAAGTAGTTTCTGTTCCCTTGCTCCTCCAGAAATAACCACTGTCTTCAGGCTCGAGTTCTATTCTAATTTGAGGCACGACTTTTACCGGAGTTCGTGGAGGGCTGCGAAGAGAAAAGACAGGGCAGGTCAGCGTGGGGACTACCTCCGGGCTCCTCGGCCACTCCTAACGTCGTCAGCCGTGCTTGGGACCTCTGCGAGCACAGCTTCCTTCTCAAATCCTGAAAAAAGTACAATAACCTCCAGTGCACAGCAGAATCATTGAATCATAGAATGGTTAGGACTGGAAGGGACCTTCAAAGGTCATCTAGTCCAACCCCCCTGCAAGGAACAGGGATATCTCCAACTAGATCAGGTTGCCCAGGGCCTCATCCAACCTGGCCTTGGTTGGCCATTTTATTTGTAAAATGGGCATTTTAGAAATAAACAGAGGCAAGTGGCGTAAAATGGGAAAAAACGCAGATCCCGGGACTTGCTGGGACACTGCACACACAGCGTCGCATCTGGAAATGGAACAAATGCTTGGCTCCCAGTACGGGTTCCTTGCATCGGCTCATACTTCAAAAAAGAAGTTTTTTGCATTGAGGGTGGTGAGGAACTGGAACGGGTTGCCCAGAGAAGCTGTGGCTGCCCCATCCCTGGAAGTGTTCAAGGCCAGGTTGGATGAGGCTTTGGGCAACCTGGTGTAGTGGAGGGTGTCCCTGGCCACGGGGGGTTGGAACTGGATGATCTTTGAGCTCCCTTCCAACCCTAACCACTCTATGATTCTATACCATACAGTGTTATTATTTACTCTGTTTTCCACCACAGACATGGGAAAAGGGATTGCTTCCTCTTGGCAATGTCCTGGTACATGACTGAAGCAAAGTGCAACAGCAATTTAACACCAATTTTCTCTCACTCTTTTTTTTCTTAAAAAAAGGCTAAACAATCCTAATGAATTTCATTTTCCCCCATAGGTGTGTTTTCTAGACCCTTCCCAGTTGCTTCGCATCTTTCTTCTGGTTTAGACCTCAAACCAGCCATTGGTACTGGTGGAGGGTCTCTGTGCCCCATCCCAATAAGACTGCGTTGGTCATCAACTTGGGCTGCTGCAACCCTACGTAGGGAATTTTCTCCAAGTGCTTTTTAAGAGTTTCCTACAGGGGAACAGGAACCTTCTCTCGATGACTTTTGGTACACGGACAGGCAAGCTGAGCTGCTTGTGAGGAATCCTTCTAAAGCACATTTTTTGGGTGCTTACCTTGGCATGGTGTGGGACCGAAGGAAAGGAATCGTATCAGCACGACGTATGGCGTTCGAGGAATGTCGGTGATTTTTCTCCTGTCGGGGAGGGAAGAAAGCCTCGTTTGTCACTGCCCGCAGCGCTGACGGCTTCAGTTTCTCCAGCCCAGTTCTCAGTTTCTCCAGTACCCTCCAGCCTCAGTTTCTCCAGTATCCTCTCATCTACTTGGCAATGTTTTTTTTACTGCTGGCCACTTGCCGGACGAATTTCACGGCTCGTCAATAAAAAATACTCAATTTTTCTCTCTCTCTCCTCCAAGATAAAACTCCTCCAAGCACCAACGCGACCTGAGGACTCATTTCCCAAGACTTTCACCACCTTTAGGTCTTGACACTTACCTTTCATCTACACTTTTTAAGTTATCCTGCACTCCTCACAGTCGCACCCAAACTCCTTGCGAGGAGATAGGTGGCATGTGGCCACCAAGGGCTTTCCTTCCCCGATCCGGTGTGGGGAACTGTTCTGTCTTAATAATAATCCTATTCTTGCTATTGCTGAAGGAAAGCTAATATCAGTAATACTATTAGTAATAAACCTTGAATCATGGAACACAGCATTATTCAAGGACAATACCACGGTGTTGCTGGATTACAGCTACTTCTTCTATTCCAAGGGCCTGATTTTTTATTTTCTTTTTAATTTTTTTTTTGTGTGGTTTCTAATTAAAAAACAGCGAATTAATCACTGGATTATAAAAACGTACAATGGCTTTAAACTGAAAAAGGGGAGATTTAGATTAGATATAAGGAAGAAATATTTTACCCTGAGGGTGCTGAGGCACTGGAAGAGGTTGCCCAGAGAAGCTGTGGCTGCCCCATCCCTGGAAGTGTTCAAGGCCAGGTTGGATGAGGCTTTGAGCAACCTGGTGTAGTGGAGGGTGTCCCTGCCCATGGCAGGGGGGTTGGAACGAGGTGATCTTGGAGGTCCCTTCCAACCCAAACCATTCCATGATTCCATGATTCTTTTCCTTATCAGCAACACATTGAGAATATCTAAATGGTCAAAGAAGCACTTCTTTCTCTTGGACTTTCTTTTGGAGTGCCAATCTCTACGTGTAGCTACAAACCAGAGCCACTTAGATCGCCTAAGCCACCGAAAGGCAAGGGACTTGGGGAGCAGCTCTTACACTCCAATGATGGTTTAAGGAGCTCAAGATCTGTGGTTTTAGGTCCTGCTCCTAGAAATCATCAGCCTTACAAGCAGTACTCATTTATTACTCTCCCTATTGCTATTTATTTCTCCCCTCTCATCAAAGGATGAAACAGCATATTTCTCTCCAGACGGCACCCATCGCTCGTCGTTATTTTACAAAGTCAGCGCAAAGGCAAAAAAACCCTCAAGTCCGTTGTCATTCCCGATTCCTCACTTAAAAGACTACGACATTCAAAGTGGAAAGGACTGAAAACGAAGATGCTAATCATCAGTTAACGTCAGGAATTACAAAGAAACGCAAGAGCACAAAAGCAGATCACCTAAGAAGGGAAACAGGTTAATGCTCGACTGATCACTTGTCAGTTTAACGCGCGACCCGGATCAATGCCACGCTTAATTACTCTTTTAAGCGCTGATTTTTGCAACTGCTTGGCACCTAAGGACAACTGCTTGGCACCTAAGGACAACTGCTTGGCACCTAAGGAAACAAACAGCAACGGGACAGCGATGCGGTTTAGACACGCTGCAAATCCAGAACAGCAGGCTCAGAGGGGAAAAAAAAAATAAAAAAAAATAATCAAACCATCAGCAGAGTTAACACAAAATGGGGAAGGTTGGGAAAGAGCGGAGGAGAGAGTGAGTGGCCAAGAGACCGGCTAGTAGCTGGATAGAAGCGCTTAAGCTGGAGGCACCAGAAGGAACAACATCGATTTTGTAACGAGCAAAGAAAAAAAAGCTCACGTAAACCAAAAGCTGTCAGAAATCAAAGGCCTGGAAATCAAAAAAGAGGGGGGGGAAAGAAAAAAAAGAACAAGAAAAAGGAGTTTTCAAGTAATAGGAAAGTTATGGTTTTTTATTTTTTAAAAAAATCACTCTAAAAATATATATATATATTTGTAGTGCAAGTCAGAGTCAAGCAGGCATGCAAGAGGTTGGTTCTACTCACTGTCGGCAGGTTTGCTATCACTTAGGAAAGGTTCCTGCTCCATGATGTCCATTGGTATTTTAATACTTGGGACTTTTTCTGAGTAGGGGCAGTCAGACTGTGAAAGAAACGTGTAAAAGGTCTTAGAATATTTTCACTGCTCGCTCTCTTATCGTCTCCCATAAATTAAAATTATCCTTCGTATAGTTTCTGTAGGAAGGAGGAAAAGAAAAGAAGAAAAAAAAAACTCAAAAAGCATCGTCCGGCTTGGCTCCCCACTGCACCCCACTCTCCCTCTTCCTTCACACTACGAAAGGAAAACAGATGGAAAGAATAATCTTGCCCAAGTGTTATTTTCCCCTCTCCCCACCCCACCAGCTCCTTTGCCACCAGCTTATAAGACACCGTCCAGTTCAGCTTGGAGTGGGCTGCAGGAAATACAACTGGAAAACGCATTCGTAGGCAGAAATGGGAGAGCACTGGTTTCTGGGAGAGCTCTTCGGAACGGTTCATCCTGCCGTGATTTCCATAAAACTGCTTTCCTTCTTCTTCCCAACTGCTCTAGGAGGACGAGGGCCAGACACGATATGGCACAGGTTCCTTAAGCTGGACTGTCTCAACTCCCCCTTTTATTTTAAGTGAAGTCAAACCCAGTCCCAGTTGCACCTCTATTTACAGTTAAATAGTCCATCAAATCCAGGGTCCTTGTAAGAATCCAGCACTTCCAGCCAGGCAGGAGGAACAGCAAACCCATCCCTGGAAGTGCTCAAGGCCAGGTTGGATGAGGCTTTGAGCAACCTGGTGTAGTGGAGGGTGTCCCTGCCCATGGCAGGGGGGTTGGAACGAGGTGATCTTGAAGGTCCCTTCCAACCCAACCCATTCTATGACTGTATGACTCCAAGAAGAGGCACAAGTGTGGAGAAAAGCCGTACATGGGGTCCCCGGGCTTTGGGTACCAGCATGATTTATACCCCACTGGCTTCAATACTCCACCTGCTGATGCTTTGTAGGAGGGACCTGGAATTATTTTGCTTTTTAAAAATAAAAGTAACTTCTCCTAAGCAAGGAAAGGCTGAGATGGCAGAATCAGGCAGAGGAAGGAAGGTGGCATATCCCAGAAATGTTAACACGTCCTTGTTCCTGGAGAGAACTAGACACGGCACTGAGCACAACGCTGGGGTGGAGGGACGCAGACCTTCGAGTCAGGGCAGGAAAACATTACAGAGGCCAGAGAATCGCTCTCCCTGCATTATTTTTTAAAAAACATATATTATTCTTTTAACAGAACTGACATCCAGTGCAGTACTTCCTACTCCAATAGCAAAATGTTTCCTCGGGAGTACTTGGACGAGGCTGAGGGATAAGCATCGCTCAAATCAAGATGATTCTGCAGAAAAGCCCTCAAGCAATAAAGCCACCCCAAAATCTCCATCAGTTTGGGGCCAGGCTGTAAGCAGAGCACAAGAGGTGGGTAACCTCTCCAGCAGAGCACTCTCTTAGTGCTAATAAATTAACAGAAGAAGTCTGCGCAACGGCAATGCCGACGCTCAGGGTCTCCTTTCAACTCCACCATCTAAAACGGACAGAAAAACTATCTGCAGTTGGCAAAAACGCTCCAAAGGGGCGGAAAGACCGTAACACAGCACTTCGGACCCTGATGCTAAATATACTGGCCCGAGAGTTTTTAAAAAGAACTGCCTGGCCTTTCTTGGATCACACATTTTCTGACATAAAACGAGAAAAAAACCAAGACGCTTGAGTTTTCCTTAGGCAAACGGAGCGACCGGTTGCACCGATTCCTACTGTGTCAAGACAAGCTGGAGGGAAAAATGGTGAGATGGCTGAAAATCTTTCTTTGCAGCTGCTTTTCGGCTGCCCCTGGTTGCCAGCAACCCCCCTGAGAACTTTAGGTGAGTCCTAACTGGTGCTGGAAGCCGTCTCCGCTACCGCCGGGGTTTGCCGTACTGGTTTGTCTAACGGCACCCGCATCGGCACCGCCTGGCAACTCTCTTCGCCCAACTCCGCTCGGCGTATGGCTCACCAAATCCCACGCGACTAACTGGGTGGGGGCACGTTTCTGGAAGGGAAAGGGTCAAAACAATCAAACCAACAAGGTCAAGTGCTTTACGTTCAGGAAGCTGGTAAAAGCAAGCGCTGAAAAAAAAAAACCCAAGAAGAGTTAGGAACCAACATTTTGGAGAAATTCTCTTACCCGTTCGATTACGTACTGTACCTGAAATTCAGGGAATGCCTGAGAAGAGAGGAGAGAGCTTGAAACACAGCAGAGCCATGGTAGCCACGGCTCAGGATGCAACAGTGCTGGATTCAAACCAGTCAAGAGGAGGGGATGGAGCCAAACCTTTGCTGGCTACTCACTACGTGGAGTAGGGCCTTCTCTCTTATTTCAGGTTGGCCCAAGTTATCTGCCCAAGATGACCCTTGCCCTTGGCTTCCCAGGAACCAGAGGGAAGATGGGGAAGGGGAACTCGCTGTCTGAGTAACAAGTCAGCCTTCCCAGCTGGGATTCAGCCTGCTTGATCAAGGTGTGGAACCAGGCTACCTCCTACAAGGCTGCACCCTCACCCAGGGAATTCCTAGTTTGGTACATGCTCTACTTTAGACCTCTGCACGTGTTCCTCAGTGGAACAGCCTGACTTTGTTGCTCTAACACAGCTGTGCAGAGGTGCTATCCAGCTCTCACGTGAAGGACTGAGGTTCTAGCTTGGTCTCCACCAGAACTGAGCTTGCCTCTTTTGTCCTCCCAACCTTAGGTGAGATCAGGCACTGGGTCACTCTGGGGCAACTCCCGGAGCTGCCGTTTTCCCCTTGAAGACACCACATGTATTACCTGACCTGCAAGAAGGGCTGATTTGGTAGATCTGCCCAGCATACATGGGGTGCAGACGATAGCCTTCCATCACGCAGTGAGGCACAACCACCCCACAGCACCCGTGACCCTCCGGTTTGGTGGCAGCAGTGTCACCCTCAGGCTTTGCTGCAAGCAGCTCTTCTGGCAAGCACAGTGAGCCACCAGCTGCTTCTTGGGGAGGCTGCTGTCACCCGCTTTGTATCAAGTCAGGATGCCAGGGAGTGAGAGGACCAACGCCTGGTGCTGCCGCAGCTCTGCCATACCATGCCAGGCTGAGGTTCAAAACTTGGGGGCTGCAGGTCAGTGGTCTGGGCAGGAGTGCTCGAGAAAAGGCCACTTGACTTTTCCTGTTGACTGCCTTCTCCCAGAGTGTGATCCCCTCTCAGTTGTACCTCCTGCTGTGTTAAAATGGGATTTTTTTTTTTTTCCCCCAGCTTTAGGTGACCTTACCTCTGCCTGCATCATAGGAAAGTCTTCCAGATCTTCCAGTACCTAAAGGGGGCCTACAAGGAAGCTGGAGAGGGACTTTCTGCAAGGACATGGAGTGACAGGACACAGGGCAATGGCTTTAAACTCAAAGAGGGGAGATTTCAATGAGATCTAAGGAAGAAATTTTTCACTCTGAGGGTGGTGAGGCACTGGAACAGGTTGCCCAGAGAAGCTGTGGCTGCCCCATCCCTGGAAGTGTTCATGGCCAAGATGAAAGGGGCTTTGGGCAACCTGGTGTAGTGGAAGGTGTCTCTGCCATGGCAGGGAGGCTGGAACTAGATGACCTTTAGGGTCCCTTCCAACCCAAACCGTTCTACGGTTCCATGATAGGAAAAGCCTTTCTTCACGCACCCTGGATGGTTATACTGGCAGAACGAGGGACGTCATGCTCAACATTCTCTGCGTAGCCTAAAATTCTTGAAGCCTAGCTCCCTTTTCCCGTTGCAAAAGGTCCCGCTGACGGACGCGGCCAGCTCCCACTTGCTATACCAAGTGCTGTATAATCACTGCGCTTAGCGCTTCGACGCACCTTTATGGGATTTGAGTTCATGCTAGACCTGGGTAGGAGAACGTTTGAAGGCACGAGGACTACATTTCTTCTTCTTATACATACAGTAAAAAATAGAGCAGTCTAAGGCACGTAGATCTGGTCTAGTTGGGTCATCGTGCTTAGTAATGACACCAGCAGCTATGTTTGGCGATTTTAGGGCATGCTGCAAGCTGAGGTAGGACCAAAAAGTGTGCTGCTGAAGGGCATGTAGGCTTTTAAGATGTTTAGGTCATGAGTCTTATCAATAGAAAACAGTCCTTCCTGCAATAGGACAAGTCGCATCTTTTTCTGCTTTTAAAAAGAGCAATTGAAAAAAACATCAAGAAAGAAAACGGGAATATATTCAGAAGTAACAGAGCTGCTGGCGAAAACCATTCTCCTCCTAAAATATAAAAGACAATGGCAGGGGAAGGAAAAGCTGAACAAGGCAGGGTGATGAAAGGTGTTCTAGTAAAGGGCCCACCATCTCAGCAGGTACCTAGTGCTCTTGTGGAAAGTATGATTTCGTTCTGGGCAATGCAAGCACCAACCATCACAGGCTGGTGACGCCTGGAAAAGGGAAGGCAACGTAGAAAAGAAGTTGTGTTCGGGGCCCATTTACTGCAGCAGCAAAAAGACTGAGCTGGTTGGCTTGGCAAGAGGCTGGGAAACCCCCAGCTCCAGAGCTGGGGAGGGGCACGGGCATCCCCTGGGGTTCACGAGCTAGAAATGAGTAATACAACACAAGTGGAAAGCTCCTTACGTCGTCATTGTCGCTGTCCACACTGCCCTTCTTCTTCTTCTTCTTCTTCTCGTCCTCTTTCTTTTTCTTGTCCTTTTCTGGAATGACGTCATCAAGGAAGCTTAAGTCATGCTGGGAGAAGAGGTAGTCCATGGCTTTTCTGACTGCTACAAGCGCCAGGATCTGAAAAGGCAGAGGAGGATTTCACAGTCATGTTCTACCTTGAGCTGGTAACACTCTGCGCATTCCTCGTGATGCCGCTTAATCCCACAGGCTTTAATTGTGGTTGTAAACGAACACGCGCAGAACAAGGTGAACACCTGGGATATCTCCGTCGACTTCCAAGTCTGAACTGTGACTCCTTCACGTCAGATTAAACAGGAGCAAGGTACAGAAAAGAGTATGTAACCACTTCATACTCCTGTAGAGACAAAGGTCATCTTTCACACCCAACCGACAGGCATTGGGCAAAACAAGAAACTCAAGAGACAAAACATGAGTATTTCATTTATTTTTGGATTCAGCCTATGTATGCAGGTTCACAGGGGCAGCCTGAGTCATTCTCTTGATTTTTTTCTCACCACTTCCCCAGATTTAAGGACTCGTTAGAAACTAGACGAGGGCCAAACTGTGCCCTCAGAGTTTGCAGAAGCAAGTTTACCGGGATTGTGACTGCATGGAAGTGGAGGAAAAGCTTTTTCTGGTGCAAGACTGCAATCAAAGGCACTGGGAAAAAAAAGAAGGGACATTTCCAAAACAGGTGGTTACATCGACGCTGGGTTTACCACCACCACCACTGGATGCCTACCGAGATCACACTTAACGCTTTACCGAAGGGTACACCAACAGACTGAAAACCTGACTTGGCTATTAGAAGATACAACCCATTCCCAACCACTGAAGATTGCCTTTGAGATGAAGAGTTTGTTGCGAGCAACGATGATCAACAGCACAAACAATTCCTAGGAAAGCACGTCAAGCGTTGACGTGCGTAACTTCAGACATGATTAGAGAAGGGAGGAATTGCTCAGGGGGTGGAATGATGCCATGTAGACACCCGTGATTACGCCATTATGAATTACTTCTGTATTAAAAGTGCTTTTCCTTCAAATAAACAGAGGTTTGGCCCTTGGCTGGATCTTCACAAATTGGAAGCTTCCAATCTTTTTGTTCACGAGTGCAAGTAACAGCGGTTTTGTCATCAGATCCAGCTACGTCGAAGCTGTGACTGTACCTTCGCTGAGTTTTATCACATTTATTACATCATAACCAACCTCAGCAGACTTAGGGCTCACTCAGGTTCTCTCTATTATGGGCAAAGAGAAAGCACGTCCAGATCTCGGATTCAGCAGTACAACACAGCCATGAAAATGCATCGGAGCGGCGCGTCAGGGGGAACTGCTGATTTTTAACACCTTGATATATGAGCATGTGTCCCAGCAAGGACATTTGGAGGTTTTTTTTTTTATTGGTGTTATCTTTCCTCTTCTCTTTTCACCAGCATCAGAGAACAAACACTTGTCCTTGTCCTGGTTTCTGCTTTCCCTCCTCCTCTCCCTTAAATAAGCACCGCAGTTCGCAACGACACCCACAACGGAGATGTTACTTGTCCGTAAAACCTGAAACTAGGTGACATTGGGCCCACGTTTCTCAAGGGAGTTTCATAAAGCTTTGACTTTGTGGCAGCCTGACCCATCTCTGAGACAGAGACCAGACCCGGCAATGGTCCCATTGGATCCACGCTCAATCCGTTTGGCCCTATGGCCACCTTCCTCCCAACTGTTCCAGCTTATCTACTCCATAGTCCCTCACTTAGGATCTGGGATCAAAGCTTTTGATGCCTGAGGTGAAGTGCACATATCAACACCCCTTAACACTTGTTGGGTTTTCCTTTGGTCTAAGTGGCTAATTGTGTCTGTAGCTCCAGTAATAATCTAACTGCACAGAAAACTTTCACTATTCCCCTTCCTTGATGTAGATGCATCTCTCATTCGTCCATGCGGCTCCAGGAGAAAACATGGCAAATCTAACCTTGGCAGAAACAGCCAAAACTAACTACACCTTCTTGGGGAAAAAAAAAAAAAATGAACTTTCCAAGCTCCTTTTCCCCAGAGGATTTACGTAAAGGCAGCGACGGCAACGTTGACCCCGTGCGGTCTTACATCAGTGCCACCAACGGAGGCAGAGCCCGGAGCTGGGGATTTCACAGGGAAAGGCTGGATCTGTGTGCTCACAAGAGGCTCTGACTGGGCTGTGGAAGGGAGAGATGTGAAGGAGGACGTCCCTTACCATGACAGGGAATATGATAGCAGCCACGGTCGACTTGAGGATCCAGAGCAGGGCCAGGCACACGACCTGCAGGAAGGTGAACAGATGGACCCGGCGCAGTGGGACGTGGCGCAGGTAGATGAAGTCAGGCTGGTGTTTGAGAGGCATCAAGAGCAGCTTCAGACGATCCATGAACTGGGAAGGAAAAGAAACGGACATGTAAATGAGACCCGGGGTACCCAAAGCAGAGTCAGAAAAGCATCATTCCACAACGAAGCGGGACCTCGGATCGACTTGCTTTCCTTCCCTACAAGAAACCCAGCGGAAAACCCAGCCCAGCTTCTCCATCCCGACCGACTTGTGCTTAACGCAGTGTGGGATAAACATCTCAACTCAGCTGTCCCAAGCAAAGGTCCTACGTCTACACAGAATTTTCTCTTTAAGGCAGCGCTCCGCTACCCACAAAAGAGAGGAAGAAAAGATGAATGCCCAAACTGAAGAGCGAGGAAGACGGGCAGCTTATCTGGCAGCGTCCCTCACCCCGTCTTGGACCGTACGGACTTGGAGTCAAACCAAAATCAGGATTTCTCATCGAGTGAAAAACACCCTTGAGCCGGGAAAAACACGCTGCCCAGTCCCCTGACCACCTGCGCCGGGGAGATCCCCTCCAGGAGAACCGACCCCAGGGCCAATGTGACAATGCCCTCGTTGTCCCCTGCCCCGGGGTGGGCTCGCTGCCCACCGCCTGGACCACACTGATGGCACAGCAATCCATGAAAGCTGGGGCCGTTTCAAAGAACACCCAGGGAAATTCCCATGGTGCTCACAGAACGGGCAGTCTTTTCCTGTTAGAACACAAGAAAAGTGCTAAAAAAGAAAAGCCACTATTAATAGGGTGCCAGAAAAACAAGAGAATCACTTCCAGCTTCCTAGCCGCAACGCCTGGCAACAGTCGCTCCCCTCCCCGGGGTTTCTTGGGAAGGAGAAGGAGGAGGGGAAGGAGAAGGGAAAGGCCGGAGGGTTGTGAGAGAACCCCCAGCCCGGTGAATGATGGCCATGGTCCGGAGAAGATCCCGCGAGGAGCCGGCGCTCCGAGGGACTCACCTGCACGCCGTTGAGGGAAGCGACGCCCATGTAGAGGAAGACGCCGTAGAGCACCGGCATGGGAATGAACTGCGGGGGGAAGAGCAGGAGAAACTGAGCGAACCGCCTTGCCGTACACGGCGCACCGTTAACCCGCGGCGGTGGTGGGGGGGGGCGTAATTCCGAGCCTGTCATCGACTCAAACAGCACCTGCGAGGGGATAATGGAGAGGAACAAAGCCAGAGACCCTTCCGCTGTGTTTTGAGAGCTGCGGGAATGTTTGTGCGGTCAATGGAGGGCTGAGGAGCAGGGCAGGGGCCCAGGGAGCCCTGGGCTCTGCCACCTCACCGGCACTTGGACGTGTCTCCAAGAACCAACGGGAACGAAGCCGGACAGTTCTGGTTGGCACATTAAAGAAGAGGTGAGGCACAGGTGTCCCAGTAAGCTTCAAACTGCTTTTCATTCCTTGGTTTCTGGTAAGACCAGAAGCAGAAGGCAGAGAAGAAGAAAAGGCAGCCATGAAAACCCATCCAGAAAGACTCTTCTCTTGAGTCCCACCTCATTGATGACAGTCATGCCAACCAAACCTCTAATCGCTCCATCCTTCGCTCACATTAATCCATAACTATTCACAAATACAGGACCACGAGTTACATTCTTCAGTGCCAGGAACTGTCCTTTCAAACACCAATTCCTGCTCCTTCAAGTGCTAAGGGCTGCCTGTTCCTCCATCACTGGTCCTGCCATCAGGGACATGCTCCTTCGGAAGCAAGGAAGGAGCACGGTAACGACATATGTGCTCCCCAGAATGAGTATCTGTCCCTCCAACCTGAAGCACAAAGCTTTCCTCAACGACAACAGCCAAGGGAGCACATGAGCACCAAGGTCACCCAGCCATGTGCCATCCCAGATCAAAGCTTCCCTGCCTACATTTTTCTCATCCCTCCCGAGTCTCCTTTCCTATCACCTTCCATGAGCTTCTTGATTGCTAATTCATCCTTCTCTTGGACTTTTTGCTTCCTTGGGTGAGCTGTGTTGGTATTCCGCGTGAAGAGCCCACTGTTTGTTCCACAGCCTGGGTTCAACGCTCTGCCGCCACCGTGCGCCGCAGCGGGGAGGGACGGGGAGCCAGCGCGTGGGTCACATCGCTGTGGGTGTCCAAGGGATTCAAAGCCCTCTCTAGATCTGAGGGATTGGACAAGACAAGATACTATCTCCTCTGCCAAGTAGGGTGGGAGGCTTTCAGAGTTTAGCTTTCTAGTTCATCGCTCTCTTTCCCCCCCCTTCCACTTCTATTTTTCTAAACTAAAAAAAAAAATACATGTCCAAATGTTATTTCACCATTCCATGATAATTAATCCTGTACGTCATCCCTAGGTAAGACTTCAGGACGTTATCAGGCAGAGTAGCAAGTGGTGCTTTCAGCTTGGAAGACTTTAATTTGGCCAAGTATTGCCTAACTCTGGGGTTGCTGGCTTAGGTGGTCCGAGCAAACCTGCCGCTAGTCAACAGAATTAAAAATGTATTTATAGGGAAGTTCCTGCCGTTCTCCTCGCAGGGGCAAGGATGTTTCTGCGGAGATCTGCCACCCGGCCCCTGGAGCTCGTTAAAGGTCCTGAAACACTGCCAGGTCCTTCTCGCTGGCACGTGGGCGAGGAGTGTGCCGAGTCATCTGCGGAGGTCCTCCCACCATCATCTTCCCCACGTGTCGTCTTAAGCGAGGCACGGACAAATAATTAATGAATAAAGCAATAACAGGGGACATAATAGATCCCAGTGGAACAGAGGAAGAGAGATCTTGCAGGGAAAACGTCACATGAACTAAACAAACACAGTTATTACAATCAGGCATTACATTAAGGGCACGGAAATGCCTGTTTGTGCAGCAGAGGAAACTGTCACCAAGACACAAAAAACTGCTAGTTGGAAAAAACAACCTTCGAAATCAAGAATAGGAACACCCTGAACTTTGTAAAGCCACTTTCTCCACTTCAAAGCCAGGCAGCACCATGGCTCTCTGCCCACCTCCTCCTCTTTGGGCTCACATCTAACTGTGCCTCTGCAGCTTCCAACCACCTGGTGACCAAAAAACTCATTTGCCTCCTCCAGAAACACCTCTCCAGGTCCCTGTCTGCTCCAGCACGGAGCTGCGACACATGGTGCCACTGTTTCAGCAGGTACGTTACTGCTTTGACATAATCTGCTTGCACTGTCGGTCTATGGATCCATGGAGATGGAAATCTGCAGCTGTCATCTTCTGTCCTACAGTATGGCTGTGATTGGTGCCACGGAAATTGTCACCCTGGAGAAGGCAGTACGCTCCACGAGACATGGATAAGCTGGTTTTCCAGTTTCGTTCTACAATCTGGTGATCCAACTAAAGAGGTGTCCTTCTGTGGCTACTTGTCAAGAAATTTCAAGTCTTAGATGCCTACCTAGATTAAAGAGTACATCAGGACCGTCTCTGTCCAGAGCCTTGGCTAAACCCCCAAGTAAAAAAAAACTCAGGAGATGAAGAATCGTAGCATCATGGAATTGTTTGGGTTGGAAGGGACCTCAAAGATCACCTCGTTCCAACCCCCCTGCCATGGGCAGGGACCCCCTCCACTACACCAGGTTGCCCAAAGCCTCATCCAACCTGGCCTTGAACACTTCCAGGGATGGGGCAGCCACAGCTTCTCTGGGCAACCTGGTCCAGTGCCTTCCCACCCTCAGAGGGAAAAATTCCCACCTTAGATCTCATCACAATCTCCCCTCTTTCAGCTGAAATCATATTTAATTGCACTGCTTCCTCCAGAAACATGTTTTCCATATTGCTGAGGCGGGCATCACTTCTGAGCAGTAAGGGACGTGCCAGAAAAAATAAAAAAAATAAAAATTCGATTGCTGTGCTGACCTTTTTTTAAAACAGCCAGGCAAGCCGCAGGAGCCCGGCACGGCAGAGGTGTGCGCCTTGGCAGCGGCACCAGCCGGGCAAAGCTCTGCTATGGCGATGCCAACGGTCCCAGAGGTTTTCAGCCACAATTGTACCCATGGCCTCATCAAAGAACCCCTCCCCTCCGCGGGCCATGCACAGTAAGCATCAAATCAAGATTTTCTTCAGGTATCCGCGTGAAGATGTGTGAACGCTCAGATAAATGCAAATGACCTGTTGAACCGACGTACCCGTCTGTTCACCTGTGCCTCCTGCACAGCAACTCTACTGCATGGCCAACCAGCCTGCCATGGTGCCACCACAAGGCCCTCAAGCTTTATCCGCAACGTATTTCCCATAAAACACAGGCACGGCATAAGACTGCAAAATAAAAAGGAACTTGGCCAAGAAGGCCATGTCCTTACCTTTAGGATGGGAGCCATGAAGACAGACACACCGGTCAGAATGAAGACGATGACTCCAGTGACTCTCTGCTCCCTGCAACAAAACCACTGGGTGATTCAGCGGCACCCACAGCCGCTCGCCCCATCCAAAAATCTGGTCGCCCGTCATGTTTCCGAGGACTCCAAGTTAGGTCATGACGTTTCTATTTAGTCCCCTAAGCACACGGCCTCGTCTCCAGAAGGGCTCCCATGGCAAGCACTCCTGACTGCTTAATTAAGGCAACCAAGTACAGGGAAAACCACTTAATTAAGTGGAGCTGATTGCTCTAGGCGTGACAAGTTCGTATTTTTTACCATTATATTGGCTAAGGAATGCCTGTCTCGCTTCCACAGATAAAGAAACGTGCAGTATATTTTATCTCTCTTCCCAAACGCTGGAAAACTACGTCTGATCCGGCCGAATAAACTTTTGAGGAATTACACGGGGGATTTGTCCAAGGAATTGGCAGAGACCCGCGCTGCTAAATCTCACAGCTGGGTTTGCAAATATGAAGAAAGCAGCATGAAACTCTTCATGGCAACTTTGCAGCGTCCCCCACTCGCTCTGCAAAGCTTTGTGTACTTGGGAGGGGCTTCAACATAGAATCATGGAATGGTGAGGGGTAGAAGGAACCGCAAAGATCATCCAGTTCCAACCCCCCTGCCATGGGCAGGGACACCTTCCACTACACCAGCTTGCTCAAAGCCCCATTCAACCTGGCCTTGAACACTTCCAGGGATGGGGATATCTACAACTTCTCTGAGCAATCAAGAGAAGTTGTAGATGCCCCATCCCTGGAAGTAGCAGAGCAGTAGGATGCAGCACGCCCAAAGCACACCGAGAAACGGTCAAAGCTGATCTCCGCAGGCAAACAAGACAATTAAGGCCTTTCTGCTTTGACCTACCTCACTCCCAAAAACTTGGGCTGTTCTCCAGGGGCTGAAGTTTCTGTCTCCATCTTCAAGCTGTCGATATGAGCAATGGAGATGACGGTAGCAGCAACATACCAGGGCAGACCCATAAAGGAGCATACGATCATCAGAATGGCCACCCAGAACAAATCCAGATGATATCCAGCACCTTTCTGCCAAGGAAGACAAACAACCTTCAGCTTAATTATTCTAAACACCGAGGGAACGGCCAGGGCTCTGGCCACCAAACAAGCAGTTTGGTGCATCTTTTGACTAACAGAAATTGTCACGAGAAATAGCTGAGGAGGACACGTTGCTCCTTTAAAGGCTGAATTACCTGCCTCCACAGGGAAAACATCTATATTTTTTTAATATATATATATATATTAACTTAATATATAATATATATACACACACATATATCTTGGCACCAACCCTTAAAACCAGCCCAAAGCCTAATCCTAGAGAGTAAAACAACTCTCAGCGTAACGACTTGACCAAGTGTACCTGGAAGCAATCTTACAGAAACATGGTGCTGCCTAAAGGTAGCGTCTGCCAGTCGGTGTCTCGGGGCAAGGTCTGAACCCCTGTATTTAGGACAGGAAGCAGCTGTGGGATCTCACAGTAGGGACGTGGCAGCCAGTCTGAGCCCTGCTGATCCTGCCTGGCATCTCTGTCATGGATAAAGATGCATCCTAGAGGCATCTCCATCAACACCCAATGCCAGGCTCTCCTGGGGAAAGCAACAAGAGCAGCTGATGGGCTCATACCCTATTGGAAGGAGAAAGCTGCCCTCATTCTTTGCTTCTTTTTAAAGATCTCCCACCTTGTACTCTTTAAATCCTGAACTAACACAGGAAATTCACGAGTCACAAGTGCCAAGAGAAGAACTGAAGAAACAAAAGAGCTGCTCAAGAAAAGGATCTTCAGAAAGACACCGAAGAAAACTCTAATGTTTGCTATTTTAAAGAAGATGAACCTTTTTTTAATCCTGTTCCATTTGATTTTGTTGGAAAGAACAAACGATCCCAACCTACTGGGTGACCCAGGAGGGAAAGCAACCCAGCTCGTCCTCAACAGTACGCCTTGTTTTACTCCTACGGGCGCTGCTGACCTTGGCTGGCCAGCAGCTTACGTTTGCTTAGTTCCACACAGGAGACAGACCTAAACCTGAGATTGTGTCAACCATCAGCCTCCAGCTGAAGATGATGTGGGCGCGGGATGGAATATGGCAAAACACCATGTTCTGAGGGTTGTTTTTTTTCAAACCAGCCTCGTAGGACCAGCAGCCAGCGCTCAGCAAACCCTTCCCGTTCCCTCTTACTCTCAATTTCTCCTCCGGGCTGGGCTCAGGATGGTGTTAAACCACGTGCTGGTTGTCTGATGTCTACAGTGACCTCTTCTTCTCCTCTTTTTCAAGAAAAAGCTCCGTTGGCATTTCCAACAGCTCTCAGTGGAGCTGATGAAGCAGATCTCTAAATAATGACCCAGCGTGATCCGTGTTTTGAGGGAGTCTTTACTCTCACGGGTTAGACCACTTGGAATGCATCCCTTTAGCAGGAAGGGAGAGTCCTCTTTTACAGGAATTTAATATTTTTCAATAGAACTGACCGCGCAGGGAAAGAAAAAACCCTACAGGCATGAAAAACTGCATAGCACCAGCCTGGAAAGTTTATTTTAAAAACATCACTACATCCTAGGCTGGTACACGCCAGCGGATATGAAGCTCTTCTTGAAATAACATCCAACTGTGGTGATGCCCTTGGTATGTCCCAAATCTCTTCAGCTTATTGCTGTATTTTACAGCACTGGACAG